CAGACACCACTGACAAATTATTTGATCTCAGGCGCAGGTGAACCTTGACATTGGTGAGCTCTTAAACGAGATTTGTGCCGTTTGTTGGACGGTAGGTTGGCTCGTTTGTAAAATAAACTCAACACACTCCTGTGTGGCACAAATTCAAAGTGAGGCAAATTTTCGCGTCCCAGGTATGTGTATAGATAGAGACGGCGAAGGCGTTTTGATCACCGGAATCGTACTTTTATCCTTCTGAGTTTTCGGACTCTTGTAGGAGTCCACCGTCAGAGATTAAAGAGTCAACGAAAAACAATCAGCAGTTATAGGGGATGGGGGTGGCAGTCAATGGCTATAGTGGGGGAAGGGGCCAATCAACCACGAGTGCGGTCAGTCCGGAGACGCCTGCGCAGAACGATGTATGTCGGCATCAGATCGATAAATCGATTGACTGAGTCCTCATCCGAGGCTCAGGCTTCAATCAATTCTCGGCCTGTCTTTTTGCCGTAGTGGGCGATTATCCTCGCAGCTGCTGAGTTAAACTCGTGACTGGTCTCGTAGGTGTAGGCAGCCAATTGTGACAATGCGTCACCCCGTCTGACTGCCAGCGCATGTTCATGTATGCGGAAGCCAAGCTTGCGTCCAGTCTGTCCCGTGTAATTTATGGGACAGTTTAGGCATGGTATGCGGTACATTACGTCCGACTGCTCATTGGGACTTAATTGTCCTTGATTCTAATGACCCGGCTGCGCATGGTAGCCTTGGGACGGTGTGAAATTCCGACGCCTAGTCCTACAGCAACGCCTTCGGTCGCTTCCGATACATCCTTGATGGATGGCCGCGGGTTGGTCCTGTTAGGGTCCTCAGATGGTGAGCACATAGAAATCGGCTTCTTCTTATTCTACGTGTTGGTGTTGTTGTATTTTGTATGCATGTTATCTCTCCTTTTTGTTCTCGGTCCCTGTAGGTGGATTCGGGCAAGGACAAGCGTGAGCCCATGGTAGTCGCCCTTGTGGGAAACAAGTTGGATCGTCCCAAAGATAGCCATTTCGAAATTCCCGTCCCACCGTGTGCCTGGGCTCTAAAGGAGAAGGGTGGGTCCCTTTGGACATACCATTCTGCCGTTTCTATAAAACCTTCGTGCGATTGTGATTTTTTAAGTCCCTGTATTTGCTCCCCTGGTCTGCTTGAAGTAATAATTACAGAAAGTCATGCATTAATATTGCCAAGCCTCCCCTCCCCCTTCCCGCGATTCGGCTACGCCCTACACTTAAATTAGGAAATTAATCCAGTCTGCCCATCGTATTTGCAGTCCCCATCGTTGCAATACATTTGGTTGACAGCTGCCAAGGTTTCTGTGGGTAGCAGACAGACCAGTTCTGTTAACTTTAGCCCCCCCCCCAAAACTGACTGTTTCAATTTGTCCCCTCTTCGAGCTTCTTATCCATGGTAGAAGTCAGTACATTTTGGAATTCAGTTCGTTATTAAGCAAGGTGCAAATCCAGAAGGGAGTTGACTGTTACTTACCCGGGAGGGTAACCTCTCCTCGAAAGAATGTGGCGTTTAGCACTTAGGAGGCGTCGTCACCCTGATTCTCTACAAATGAAACGGAGACAGATAAGCCTACGGCTGATACCGAGGTGGCCCACTTTTAAAGTACAAGAATACCCTGAATATTCACTAGGTTAGGTTCCAAACACTGTTGCAAATCGGAAGGAATCGCGAATGTTTAGCACGAGTCACTAAACGGTTGCTTCTAGAGTTTGTACCCTATGCTCTCAATGTACTTATGGCTTTCCTCTACAAGTTAGCTTACTACATTGCACATTGCCAATTACGTTTATTTGGAAAGGGGTAAAAGGTACATGGTTAATTGCAGGTAATTGTGCTCATAGTTACAGGCAAATTAGTCATGGGATTAGGGGAGGTGGTTGGGGTTGGTAATAGGCGGCTAGTTACGCTGTAATAAGGGGGAGGGGGGGGAGGGGGAGAAAGAGCGTGGAAAATGTTAGGCTCGGAGCTTGCAAGAGGTTCTTCTGCGCGCACAAAACTGGTTTCCTCAACCGGATGGCGGTTGCTTCTGCTGTTGCTAGCAACCGCTGCCCCAAGGACTTTGGGTAGTTTGGTGGGACCTTGTAAATCACCTTGGAGGCTTCGTTTGGATCCACACGATGTCCGGAGCCAACCATGTGGGCTAGAATGATGCTGTTGATACTCCTGACATCAGCCATGCTGGGAGGTGCTCCCGTATTCTTTTGGATAAACGCCGGCTCCTGCGACCGATATAACCTGCTCCACAGGAACAAATAAATGAGTAAATGCACATAGAAGTCGTCTAAGATGGCAGCCTATATAAATACAATATAAATATAATGTGTAAAAATAATGTACAGTATCTCTCAGCTGTGGGAGATATTCGCCACATGAGAGGCAATGTACAGTATCCTCTAATGAGTGTTTGTCACACGTACGCATTTAAAGTGCAGCGTAATAATGCTACTCCCATACTAAGGCATTAGCTGCTGTACCACTTTGCATCCACAGTGAAGCAAAACCGAGTAACGAATTGGACTGTAAACCCCCCATGGCTGTGCCCCTTAAACGGGCGCACCCACTCGTGGGAACCTCAAATCTGTCGACAGAAAGGGGTATTCCGGCGTTATCTGCCTGTACCTACTGGTCTGCGTCCTTCGTTCGTAGCCAACGTGCCTGCCAAAACTGCCCCCCACTATAACCCGGGTGTTCACACGATCAACTCAGGTGAGGATGATGAACCTGGCCAGAAGGAATGATCACTAGAATTAACACACTTAACGTAGGCACACTACTTCTGGCAGCAGTATCCTAGTCCTCGTAGTCCAAACTTAATATAAACTGCCCAAGCCTGGTGGATAGAGATGATTGTGCGGAAACCAAAGGAAGTCCTGTTGTGCTCCGGACTTCAAACATGTATTTACTGGGAATAACATAATCCGAGATTCACTCTGCTTGTTGAGATTGAGGGAGCATGAGCCCAGCACTGATTTTAATCAGCGCTACTTCTGACTAATCTTAGCGTCAGTAATAGTAACAGCCCTACTATCACTCAGCTACACTGCTAGTTAGTAGTAGTAGCAGTACCAGCCTTGATCTCCTTGAGTCTATCTTGACATCTGCTGAAGGTGAGTGAGGGCAGATGGTGCGGTAGTACTTGCACAAAAGTCTACTGTCACTTAAGACAAAGTTAGGTGGTATTCCGGCCCGCTTTGGAGAAACCGCCCTACTTTAGTTGACCCACTTGCGTTTTACAGGAGTCGAACCCGCATAGCAGGGAAGCCCTTTACGCAGCCAAGACTCTACCCCTTGAGCTACAAACGCCAGGCCTTGCGCCGTGAGTTTATTCACACTTGGATCGATTTTACCCACCCAACTTTACCGCCCATATGGAATCCACCAATAGGACACAGCAAGCTGACTGCCCAAGCAGGGTTTCCTAAGAAATCATATAGAATCCACCAGAATGACCTGATCTTATTCGGTCGTCTCGACTCTGTCTTGTCACCGCTTCAAGCGGGTTGATAGTTCAGAGTGAGGTAGACGGCTGCGCCTCTATTTCACTCAAGTCTTGTCTCTGACTACAGTCACCCTTCCTGCTCCGGAGCACATAGTGGACTTAATCGAAGTCGGCAGTCGAACTACCAGGTGCGTTTTACCACCACGAAGGCTAGATCAGCACACAACTCAGGCGTTATTTGCGTTGCGCTTCCATAACGCATGTCAACC